CGTGGGAGATGTACCGAGACGTCCACGAGGCGCGTATAAAATCAAAACTGCACGCGCGGACGATTTATAAATAATTTCCAAATGACTTTCGGATGATTCCTTTAATATTCATATATTTTGGGGTGACACAATGAAATTCCTCAGTCTCGTCAAAATCGAATCGACGGATTCAATTATTCTCCTCCCAGTCGCGAAGGCTTTCAAATAAACAAATAAAAAAATTAATAACTGAATTGTTATACATATATAAAAATATATTAGCGGCAATTTATACAGTGTAGATCCATTTTCGATTTTCTTTTTTTTTTAATACTCTGTTTTGAAGAATCTGGAAAATCTTTTCTCGGCCATTTTTCGGGGATTTCAATGCGGGGAGATCATTTACGGCGTGAGAAGTCTTTTCGGGGTTTTGTTGGGGAATCGTTTCCTCTTGGTTCCCATTTTCTCCTTTTTATTGTCGAGAGAGATACTCGGCCACGCAATGGCGGCATTTACGAGTGCGATTACGAGCGGCGGGATTACGCGCGATAAATAAAATAAAACATACGAGCGACATAACGGCGCTGGCCTTTACGTCGATTTTATACCTTGTCCTTCCTCTCGGGAGATATTGTTTACCAGCGTCTCGTTTTTACTTTCCAGCGAGACATCCCGAGGGTATCGACAGGGAGATCGAATCTCCCTACGCCATTAATCTCGACCGGAAGTCCCAAGATTGGGCCATGACACCCGGATAATAAATCCACGGTCAGTCCAGGTAAAGTTATCCTAAATCTTCTTTATTCATATCTCGAGTCGATGAATTTTAGTCGAGGTATATTCTGGCCGGAAGTGTCAATGCCCGCAGAAGTGGATGTCAAAAGTGGGAGAGACGGGTGTCAATAATCCGGGAATAATCCGCGGCCTGTCGGCGTCGTTAATCCGAGACGTCAATGGCGGATCAATTCCGATTTCAACCGCGTCCTGAGCATCCTCCGTGCAATGCATTATATCCCCGTCGACTCTGAAAAAGATCCGCCGAAGAGTCGTCGACGGGATCGAAAAAAGCCCGGTGAAAAATCCCCCGCCCGGAAAATCCCCGTCGAGCCAATTATCGCGTGAAACGCGTAACCTCGTTATTAACCTCGCCCATAACACATAACTTCGTTAGAAACCCGCCTAACGAGAAGTTATTCCGGCATAATGCGGGCTTTTGTTGCCATTTAACGAATTAATTAAGAGTCATACGCAGCGCGGTCTAGGGGAAAGGAAAACAAGATGGCGGCGATCGGCGGCTACCCCGAGAAAGACGAGGTGCTTGAAATAAAATAAATTTGCCTATTTAAAAATCGAATAGTTGATTTAAGTACAACGTCCAATGGTTGGAACAATTATTTCTTTAAGGGAATTAAAAGTGAGATACTTTCGATGCCAAACGAATAATGTAGAAACGAGTAAAAATCTCCCAGGTTCATAGACTGAAATTTTATTCGTCTCCAGTTGTGCATTTTTTTTTCTTTTTTCTTCAGTGTCCACTTGTCGCGTGGATGCAAAATTGCATGCAGCAAAATGGCTCGATTGGCTCGTAATTCTTTCCCTGTCATCCGTGATGACCATCTGCCTATTTTCAATCGATCGGAGTGTTTTACTGCACGCAATTTTTCAACAATGCAAGCAGATTTATTCCAACATATTACTCGGATTTTTCCGAATAATTCAGGCGAACTCCTCGACTGAGGGCTCGTTTACCCCGAAGGAGTCGTTCCGTACATAAGGACCCTCTTTCGGGTGCAGCTACGCGATCGTAATTAGCATCGGCCCTTAATGCAATGCCGCGTCCCTATTCACGGGGCGAAAGTGGAACTATCTCGGGAAAGTGGAACCGGCGCGCGGCAACAGGTGGCGCGCCGCGTGGCTGGAGTCGGCTTTTCAGGTCTTCCTAACCTCACCTGGGAGCGAACAAACCCCCCTCGAAGGGAGTTTCGTCGTGAAAACGCTTTCAAGGAGTACTCTTTAACTCCTCCATCCTTCCCTCCATTACACCCCGTTAATAAAGTTTCCTGGCTCGATCGTTTTAATACAAAAATTCAAAGAAAAAAAAATGTCCTTTAATAAAATGCCCCCTTTAATATCCCACGCTTTGGAATGATAAAAAGCACGAAAGGAGCTCAGGAAGTGCCGGTTTCATTAAAATAACGTGAAAAGGACTGGGATTTAATTTTGGTTTCTTTCGTAGGGTAGGAAGGAAGTTCCATTTTTGGGACAGGAGTTGACCACCCATGTCTCGTGTGTTTTCAGTGGCCGGAGTAGTGCGGGCAGGGGCGTCAGGGGGAGGGGGTGGGCCGGCGCCGCCACCACGCGGCACGCGGGGGTGGTGGGTCTATGGGGGGCCCCGCCGCAGCGGCCCCCCAACTCGAGCCCGGGGGCGAACTGCCGGAACGGCGCCATCTTGTCCCGCTCGAGGACCGCGCCGCTTCCGGTGCCGCCCTCCAAGCAGATGAAGAGCCCCTCCGGGATCATGAGGCAGTCCAGCCTCACCAAGCTCGGCTCCATGATCAACACTGCCGTCAACAAGAGGACCGGTAAGCGTGCCTGCGATCCCCAGGAAATGCCGTCGCGATCTCCATGCCACGTGACCGGTGCGGCGCCTGGCGCGCGCAACCATGTCGGGCGGGCGCGCACGCCGGGTCGTCACTCGCCAGGCGACCGCCGCGCGAGACGGATCGCCGGTCGTCGCTCCGCGCGCCCCTTCTTCCTGCGCGTCATTTTGGCGCGGCTCGACCGTATTCGAGATATCGATCAGGCGAGCTCGGGCGCGGGGATCGATATCTTTCCGCGCTCATCCGTCGCGCGTGCCGGTCGAGCGAGCTCGGTCCCTCTCTCTCTCTCTCTCTTTCTCTCTCTCGCGAGGCGACCCTAACCTCTCAAACTTGCAAAAACCGAATGTTGACGGTCTCGCGCGCGGGGTCGCCGGTCGGCCGGTGCTCGCCGGCCAGTAGAGGCGTCCCCGCGGCTCGACGATGAACTCGCGAGGCCGTTTGCGCTCCCGCAAGTCTCTGACCAACCTGAACCGCGCCTACGCGACCGCCCATTCCGCTAAGCGGCCCCACAACGCGATCCGCGACGACCGCGACCACGACGAGGACGAGGACGAGCAGCGCAATTATTTCTGTGAGTAGCCCCGGGACCGACGACGGGAATAACCTCAACGCGACTCCCGCCGCGCGGGCTTGACCCACGTGGTGTGAGATTCAAAATGGCCGACGCTTCATCCGAATTGGATATGTAAATAATGGATATTTTCTTAACAGTTTGGATAGATAATCTCATGACTGAACCCTGAATGTTGACCCACGCGGTGTATAGGCTCAATATTGCCAATATATCCTAATCAAATACGTAAACAGTGGATATTTCGTTAATATCAACGGTTAATTGGCAAGATCGTTAAGGAAGAATTTTGTTGAACAGTTTGTATATTCACGTGATTTCATAACGAAAAATTTGAAATCATAATTTTTTTTTTTTTTGAGAAAGAGAGAGAGGTTAAGTTCGAAGGAATTTAAGGTGAATCGCATCGGTTCCCTTGGGCCGACCGGGAGGGAGGAGAGTGATTAATGGCCGTCTGGCGCCTGTTTCGGCGTCCGGAGTATAAAAAAAGGCAGCGTCCCTCGCGGTCGGACGGTTCGCACGCATCGCACCGCCGAGCGAGCTCGTTAGAATAGATCGATTAGCGTCGATCTTCTAAACGGGACTCGACGGTGGGAGCGCGCGGCGCCTGGAGCTCGTCTCGAGGTTAGCTCAGTTCGGTCCGGGTGCCCGAAGCCGCGCTAACGTTATTTCCTTCCTCGCGTGCGCATGCTCCCGTCGTCCATATTGAATTTTAGTTCAATCACTTCCGAGACAGTGTTCAGATGGCGCTCGGACTTCGGGGGCAACATTCCCATAAGCGTGTCCGCCCCCTGGCTGGGGGGTTTGCGCCTCGTCGCTCGGCTTTAAAGACGGCTCGGGATTAGAGGGGTTAGAAAAAGCCGGGAGAGACGGAAATCGGGAAATCCGTCGTTTAGGGAGGTGCAATCGGGCGCGCGAAACGAATAAAAGGAGTCCGGACACCTGTCGATAACGTCGCTGGCCCGCGGCCGAATCGTGACTCGGAGAAGGGGGAGAGCTCATCTGTCGAGTCTTCTCACGTGACGTCGAGCGCTCTGATTGGCTCGTCACGACCGTCGAGCGCTGTGATTGGCCCGTCGCGGGCATCGAGCGCTGTGATTGGCTCGTCACGACCTTCGAGCGCTGTGATTGGCTCGTTACGACCTTCGAGCGCTGTGATTGGCCCGTCGCGGGCATCGAGCGCTCCTATTGGTCGATCGGCCGCCGGGCGCGTAACCGGTCGATCGTCCGCCGGCAGATGAGCTCGCAGTGGTCAGAAGGTCGTCGCGGCGTCCGGCGAACGCATCGGTGGCGGCCTCCGAGAGTGAGGACCCCCTCGCCGGCCAGACACCCGCCTCCCTCCGAAAACAAGCCGCTCTTCTCCTCTCTCGAGGAACTTCATGACACCCTCGACGAGCTTCTAGGTAAACCCCGTGCCTTCCCATGCATTCCCACCTTTTACCGGTAAAAGACATCCTTTAACCCGAAAGGTAAGGCCCGAGGTACAAGGAAAAGAGAAGAGACGATCCGCTCGTCAATTGATTGCGTCTCGCTGACAAAGGGCGTCCTTTGTGGCGAACGATATAACGATATAACCCTTGGCGTAACCGTCGAAGGGCTATCCCGACTCCCCTTTGAATCGCGGCGCTCGGTGTACCGCGTTAATTCCCGCGTTTTGCATTCTCGAGCGAACGACTCGGTCCATTAGCACCGACGGCGTCATCTCGCGTCCGCCAAGGTCGGTAGAGATGGAGGGTTAGGTCGAGGCGCCGCCGGGTGGCGCGGTCGGCGCGCCGGCTCGCCGTATGCGGGTGTGCCCTCTACCTCTCTTTCCCGTAGTCCGCGTCCGAGATGGCCGGTAAGTCGCCCGCTCTCCGGGCCCGCAGGTGTCGACCCGTCGGTCCCGTTTACGCGTCTCCGCTACGGTTCCGCGGAAACTAACCTCGTATTTCGTCCCACCTGCCGCGATCGATTATCACTCTCGCCGAGGTGTCGAGTCGATAGAGATTCTCGAAGAGTCGGGCCCGTGGTTCCGTCCTCGCGAGTTTTCCCCGGCTCGCGAACGGCCTCTCCCCTACCGCGGGCCGCCGCTTGGGGGCAGATGCGTCCGTCGGCGCCGGCGGCGGCAGCGGCAGCGGTGGCGGCGGCGGCGGCTGACTAGAGGCGCGATGGATTGCCCCTCCGAAACCTCAAGTAGGCTCGCCTTTTTTTTTTCTTCTATCTCTCTCGACGTGATACGGACCGGGCCGCCACCCCGAGGGCGGACCTGGTGAAATTAATCACGGCCTCTCGTGGCCGCGATTATTACGCGCAACGGTCGATCGCGAGGGGTACCCACCTTCGACCCCAGGCGACTCTTCTCGTGTCGAGCTAACCTCATTTCGGACGCGTCGTCTCGCGCACCCCCCTCGGCGGTCCTTAGTCGCGATCTTACTAGTTTTCCGCGAGTTTTTATTTACGCTACGCGGCTTGCTCCCGGTACTTCTGTAACATTTCACTGTTTATTCCATTGATAGTCGTTGTTTTGTCGATTCGATCGGACCACGCGATATCGGGGTGCAAGGGACGGTGCTGCAGGCGTCGATGGGTCCTCGGAACGAGAATTCGTAATTTGTTGGATTACGAATCGTTTATTGAAATTTGAAAGGAGATAGGGATCCTGGAAGTGCTACCGAAAGTTATCTTCTTGGTGCTCAGGAAATTGAGTTTAGTTTCTTACCGGAGCTAGGTTTCAACTCGTTCCCAGGATCCATCGACGCAGTGTTCGATCGGACTTCGATTCGTAAGAATTGATGTAGCGTTGCTAAGAGCGGCTGAGTTTTAACCTTCCTGCCTTCTCTGGGTCTGATTTAATGCGAATTAATTGTATAACCAGTTTTATGATGCTATTTACATATTTTGTAAATTGTGACAATCGAAGGCACGAAGGTTCGGATCGCTTACTCTCAGCTGGTAGAATAGAAACTGTGACAAAGGCTCCGAGGGAGTAATTGCGCAGCTCGAAATACTGTGTCTTAATGTCCGCTTTTGGTTTAAACTGGTGCGAAACCCCGTTTGGTATCTTTTACTTTTGTGTAGAGAATCATTCGCAACCCTGGTAAACACATGTACCGTATTTGGGTTTGTTAAGACGCTGCCAAGAGGATGAGAGAGAGGCAGAGGCTGCACAAACGTTTTAGAAAGGAAGAGGATGTAGTAACACGTCCTTATTTTATACTTTTTTATTTTAACTACCGCTCGACGAGCCGCTCCCTACATGATTGCTTTTCTGTCGTTGCAGGCAATGGTGACATCCAATGGTGTTTCTCGCAAGTTAAGGGAACCCTGGAGGATGATGTCACCGAAGGTACATTATAAATACTCTCGATAATAATGAATAAGCTTAAGTGAATTATTTTTTGTATGGTAAATATTTAACATGCTTGATTTTCATTCTAGCCGACATAATCTCTTGTGTGGAGTTTAACCATGACGGTGACCTCCTCGCAACGGGGGACAAGGGCGGGCGCGTTGTTATTTTTCAGAGGGATCCTATTGTGAGTGGAATAGCAATTAGTATTGGCATGGTTTAGTTTTACAATTGTATGTTAATACACAGGAACACGGCATGGCGGTCTAGCTGCCTTTACACGTGGGCGAGTCTTTCGAGTTGAACATTCCGAGCATGTTGATTTCTCATTGTCATTTTTTTTTAATAGTTTTTTTAGTTTTATTATAGTTTCCCTATAAATATTAAAATATAAATATAAAGTACTTGCTGTACTTAGTTTTGTGTCAACGATCGCTGCGACTAGTGAATGCTGTGTCTCCTAGCGATGGCTAATATTTGTGTGCAAACGCAAACCAGATAACGCTTATCGGTGGAACGGCTTGAAATTTGGGTGACCTTGCTTTAGGCATTGTGAAGTTTTTATCTTGTTTGAGCATCTTGGAGTAGATTAAGGTGATATGTAAAAATTCGTAAACGATTGACCCCATCGATGCCACTTTAATATCACCTTTAATCGATCGAAGAGATAATCTAGAATGTTTGAATAATTTCATCGACATGTAATGCATAACCGTGCATCGGGATATTCGCATGTCTTTAACGATACACAATGTCACAATGCAAGGTAATTCTTGGTTGCTCTGTACGATTTTCCTCCTTCAATGGAGCCATTAAAAGCACCGTTATCCAACTCTGAGCAGCGACTCTGCTTTACGCCTTCAATGCCGTAGTTGGTCATGGCTTTTTGACATTGACATTCTCTTCTGGGCGTTCTGCCTTTAATGTATTCCGAACAACGCTTAGACGTTAATCATCCTTCGAGACTGTTTCACCCATTTAACCGTACGGTAGTCATCTGTCGGTGAGAATTATGGCTAACGATAGTTGGGATAAAAAGTGTCATCGATGCGTTGGAGAAAATCTTTTGGCATTTAATATGAGGAAAAATTATTTTCTATTCGCAGAGTAAAAACAGTATACCGCGACGAGGCGAATATAACGTGTACAGCACCTTCCAAAGCCACGAGCCAGAGTTCGATTACCTGAAGTCGCTGGAGATCGAGGAGAAGATCAACAAGATCAGATGGCTCAAGCGAAAGAATCCTGCCCACTTCCTGCTCTCCACGAACGACAAGACGATCAAGCTCTGGAAAGTTAGCGAACGAGACAAAAAGGTCGAGGGGTACAATACGAAGGAGGAGAATGGGACGATTCGGGACCCCGCCTGTATCACTGCCTTGAGGGTGAGTAGAATCACTTTCACCGAGTACTCTTACGACTTAATTCTAAATCTCAATTACTAAATCAGACGGAAAGTCAAAAGAGTTAAACGTTACAAAATTCTAACAAAACGAACCATAACCTAATTTATAAAGCATTCCCTATATCAAGGGGTTTCCTTTGCGTATAAAATTAACGGAACAATCGTTTCACCGTTCGAACGAGTGCAAGACAGTAAATTCCACGTCGGAACTCCATAAACTCCTTTTACAGAGACATTCAGCTCGTAAAACTCGAAAGAAAGTGGCTCGCCTTGACCGGTGCGTAAAGCTCCTCTTATGTGAGGCTTTTAAATTATGAAAAAAAAAATAATAATTCAAGGCCCATGACGACGTTAAACAATGTCAATTGCTGAGACTATTATTTACGAGTTTACGGTGAAACTTTTCGGTTTCGTGGGACACTTCTTTGGATAGTAATTTTGGGTGATTTTTTAATCGATCGGTGGTGGTCTCTTTCGAGTGATCCTTTCTCTCGGAGAGTCGAAACCGAGAGGCTCGACTTTCGGAGCTTCGCAGCGACTAAACCTGGCGGATCATGGCTCACATAATAGAGAGAGGTGGGCAGGAAGGTCAAATACGCACATAAAATTAGCATAATGCGATGTTCGCGGACATCATCTCGTTTATAGGCTAATCGTCGCACATGCGGACTTAACTTGGCGCGGCGTTATCAGGTTATGTCGCCCTAGATTAGGGAAGGGAGGGAGTTGAGCAATTCTGACATTATCTTCTCCACTTTCAGGTACCCACCATAAAACCCATGGAGCTGACGGTGGAGGCTTCGCCGAGGAGAATATTCGCCAATGCGCACACCTACCATATAAACAGTATAAGCGTCAACAGCGACCAGGAGACGTATCTCAGCGCTGACGACCTTAGAATCAATCTCTGGCACCTCGAGATCACCGACCAGAGTTTTAGTATCCTCTTTCAAGTGAAATCTCGTATTATTCACCGTGGTGTATTTTTTGCACGTGGATAACATATAGATAATTAGGGTGCATTGGCTAGAATTAGTATTATTGGCACTCCAGTGAAATTAAGGGGAAAAAGGGAAGGTGCACTGCCACGACGCCATTTTCCGCTTGCCGAAGAGGAGCGGAGTTATTATTCTTGTCCCCCTTTTTTCTTTCTGTTTTTCCTTAACGACCTCGTACAGACATAGTAGACATTAAGCCGACCAACATGGAGGAGCTGACGGAGGTGATAACCGCTGCCGAGTTCCACCCGGTGGAGTGCAACCTCCTGGTGTACAGCAGCAGCAAGGGCACCATCAGGCTCTGCGACATGCGCTCGGCCGCGCTTTGCGATCGGCACAGCAAGCTCTTCGAGGAGCCGGAGGACCCCACCAACAGGAGCTTCTTCTCGGAGATCATCTCGAGTATCAGCGACGTCAAGCTGAGCAACTCGGGGCGCTACATGATCAGCAGGGACTACCTCAGCGTCAAGGTCTGGGACCTGCACATGGAGACCAAGCCGATCGAGTGCTACCCTGTAAGCATCCAATCGAACAAGCGTCCCCAGGAGTCGCGAAACACTGAAAAGAAAAAACAACTATCTAGCCAAAAGAACCAAAATTCTAGTAACTTCCATTGGTCCGGATCGTTGAACACGTCCTTACTATTCTTCTGGTTAAAAGTATCTGATACTTGGAGTAAAATGTTATACGCCGTGGAAGGGTTGATTGGCGTGAATTACCGTTCCTTCTCGCTTGTTCACCAGGTCCATGAGTATCTCAGGTCGAAGCTGTGCTCGCTTTACGAGAACGACTGCATCTTCGACAAGTTCGAGTGCTGCTGGAGCGGCAACGACTCCGCCATTATGACGGGCTCCTACAACAACTTCTTCCGGGTGTTCGATCGCTCGACCAAGCGCGACCTGACCCTCGAGGCCGCGAGGGACATCGCCAAGCCGAAGACCCTCCTGAAGCCGCGCAAAGTGAGATTTAACCGGCCTCTCGACCTGGCGCGTTCACAAACGGATTTCGGATCGTCCCTTCGTCTTGGAGGTCTTATGAATTAGAACGAGGAATTAAAGAGTTACGAGCAACTTGGCCTTCCAGGTTTTCAAGATCAAGGCCGATTTGCTTGAAATCACTCTTGAGTACTTTCCTATCACCTTAATGACCTCCCGAGACGGAGGGGGGTCCAAGTGCGTTTGTGCGCATTTATCTATTTGCAATTCCCGGATTCCCGACGGTCTCGCGTATATCGCAGGTCTGCACCGGTGGTAAGCGCAAGAAGGACGAGATCAGCGTCGACTGTCTGGACTTCAACAAGAAGATCCTCCACACCGCTTGGCATCCCTCCGAGAACGTGGTGGCCGTAGCAGCTACAAATAACCTCTTTCTGTTCCAAGACAAGCTCTAGCACATCTGTATGCAGGTAAGCTTTCCTTCGTTAAAGAGATTATCGTTTGGTTACTTTTAATCCCACGATTTCCTCGGGGAGGCGCTGCCGTCGCATCTCCTTGTATCACTTCAAATGACGTTGGATGATCATGGGTTGGTTTTGTCGCCGCTGTTTCAGATAATACAACGATACATACTGACGTGAGCGTGGCACGCGAGGATGTCCCCCGAGAACGTTGGCGGAGGAATCGTGTGCCTCGAGGAAGGCTTTAGACTTGAATTTTAGTCGAAGCTCACCCGGGAAGGTTGGACCGACCTAGGAGGTGGCGAAAGTCGCCGGGCACCGTCCACAGGGGGAGGCACCACCGCCACCAGGCGCAACAACCGAGAAAGAGAGAAAGAGAGAGATCTTCGTCGACAAGAGAGGCATATAGATATATATAGATATATATATTTACCGCGTAACTCGCTCGCGCATCCACGGCCACTTATACCTTGTGTATATATACAACGCGTAGGAGGGAGGAGGAGGAGAAAAGAGTCGAACCCGACATTCGTCGCATTTTATACGATTTTCTAGAGGAGACGCGAAACGGCCGCGCTAGTAGCGGTCTACTCGGTGGATTTCGTTTCTTTCTTCCTTCTTTTTTTTTTTTCTTTCCTTTCCTTTTAGTGGAGGCGATCGAAACATCAAACGCGAGAAACAGTGCTAACCTGGGAATCCGAGGACGCGATGAACACACTTATAGGGAAATACTTTGCGAATCACTTTGTGGGAGAATTTCGAGAAGTGGGGACGAAAAGGGCCGAGACCGTTCCGTCGGATCGCCAGGACTCGGTCGTTTATTATTAATTATTAAGCATTAATTAGTAACTTCTTTTGCGACTCGTATTCAGTTTGATCGTTGGCGGTTCGTATCGTGATTAGCCCTTTTTGTACACGGTTCTTGGAGTTGGGAGGGAAACTTAAGGAGGAAAGAAAGGGGAACCAGAAGTGCCGAATTCAACTCGAGCGCTTGAAGATTGTTAATTATTAATTTTTCACGGCCTTCATCCGTCTAGATTTCGTTCCTCCGGGACAGTACTATGCTTGGCCCTTTCCGTACATCCGCCGTGGCTTCTCAAAATAGGAAGAAATGTAGGGAAAAAAAAATGAGAAAAATGATAAAAAAAATATGAAACCATAAGGGCCGTATTCGATTCGCCATGGGAGGTTATTAATTATTAATTTTGTCGCGACTCGATTAAATAGGTTTAGGGTTGTGTCCTTGGGAGCGGAGGGTGCGTGCATTACGCAGGACACCCGGTCGTCTCATTTTCCGTGCACTTGTCTCTCTCCAGTCCGGTATATTAAATCATGCTAAGAGCTCTTGGCCTCGCGCGCGCGCTGTAATTTGTATAATGTTAGATTAACACCGAACCCATGTGTTGGCGGCTATATATGTATAATCAGTTAGACTCCTCAAAATAATGATCTGACGCTGTTGACCATCGAGGATTTGTTTTGCGCGCCTTATCGGCCGACCATGCCGGGTTTCTTTACGCATTCCACGTCGGGATCGGGAAAGAAAGGAGGCGAAAGAGAGAGAGAGCTGGGAAACAATGCCCCCCGAAATTCGTCCCCCTCGGCGTCTTTAAACAAAATTGGAATTCCCCCAACGCGGTTAAAAAATGCCGCCAGCCATTCGGCATTTTTTTAAAGATTTTTTGTACGGGTGGAGTGGTTGGGAGGAATGATTTTAGGGAATTAAAAATAAAAATTGTAGAAGGGCCAATTCGCCTTGAACTTCTTTTTTAAGGACGCTTCGAGGGAGACGACCCTATGTCACCTAGCGATCGAATTTTTTAACCGATGAGCCGCGGTGTCGTTTTTCTTTTCTTTCTTTCTTTCTTTCTTTCTTTCTTTTATCTTAATGTTAATTCCGCAGGTCGGCGGGTGACGCCGTTATTCTTTCGTCGAGCCTTTGTGCACTGTGGGAAAAATGTTCACCGGGTCGAAGAAATGTTTCTTTGAGGAGTAACGAGGAAATGTATTTTTCAGTCGAAGAGTAATTGTTTAGCTCATGTAAGTTAATAAGAGAGAGAGAGAGTGAGAGAGTAATACCGCACGAGGGATCGAAGAAATTCGAGGATTTCCAGTTTCTCTTGGTAGTCTTATTTCTTCCATTTTTTTTTGAGGGAAAAAAAAATAATAAGAACACCGCGCACCGCTCTCGAAGACCCGAATTGACGGCCTAGATTAAAGATATCGCGTATGTGGAATTTCCTCGGGATGGAAAAATGTCGAACAATCTCGGTTTTGCCGGAAATGAAAAATTGGGCTTGGCCGGTTTTGTTTTTTTGTTCCGTTTTTATGAAAACGTTAATCAGTCGGAAAATGGGTTTCTTTGGGAACTTTGCCGAGCTAGTTGTCGCGCACTCTATTAACTGTTCTACGAACAATTGGCGGTGTTTTCGAAAATCTCTCTCGTTGTAATTCGGCGGTCTCGGTGGGTGTCGAAATGGAAATAGAAAAATCAGAGTGGACGCCTAGGAAAAGGGGAAAGAAATGGGAAATTCCGGTGGAACCTCTCGAGGACGGACGGTGCGCGGACTTAGACGGAAAGAAATGCATTTCATCGCGATTGTCATTTTCTCATCCACGACTCATCTACGCTCATTAACTTAATCTACTTATTCGTAACGTACGCCGGATCGTAATCTCGATTTCCTCCCTTTGAATATTCCCCTGGAGAGTTTACAAAAGAAGGAAATGACAATTCTCAATGGCGGACGGTTTTCCCTCCCGCGAGGAAATTTCCGTTTCCGCGAGGTCGTTGAAATATGGAAATCCATTTTGACCAGGAAAATCGGAGGATTAATTGTCGTTCTTTTTTTTTTTTTCTTTCTCGGCCTCTTTACGTGGCAATCTCTTTTGCTGGACTCCGTTATTAATTCCAATCATGTGGTGAATTTATTAATCGGCGTGAAATTAAAGTAGAGCTATTGTTAGGGAGGATCGTTCTAGGGACGATTAGAGAGATATCGCGTATTTTAATTATTTTTGTATTATGTATTACCGTAGGATAATAGTTCTTCTCCCGCGAGGTTAATCTTTTCTCTTTCCGTTTTATTTTTCTTTTCTCTCTCTCATTCTTTTTTGTTTGTTAACTGCCCAGGCAGGTGTTTAGGCGACACTTTGACGGTGGTTGAAAGTGGGATACGTTGAAATTTCGAGTTATTAGTAAAAATGGTATTTTCCATGTCCATTGGCAGGAAATATGATCTTCGTAATTTTCCTCGTTAGAAGAGAAAAAGAAAAGAAAAGGAAAAAAAAAAAGTGAAAATTTCACCTGGATCGTCATCGGCGATGGAGATAAAAAATTGCCATTTAAATAATCATCGAGGTGAAACAAGGGAGCTGCATTTTTCAATGAAAATTTATTTAAGGGGAGGGAAGAGAAAAAATCGAAAATTGACTCTGGGCTTCCCAAAAAGAGAAAAAGAAGAAAAAGATCAGGAGAAGCTACGCGAGCAACGAGTGTCATTTGATTGGCTCTGCTCGATGTTTATACGTTTATATGTCTATTTAAATAATTAACGGTCCAGCAGGACTTTTGCGATCGACTTTTTGTCCACAGCCTTGCGGGGAAATCGAAATTCGAAAAAAAGTCTGTCGAGATTCGACCACGGGATTTCGGAGCTTATCGCTTATCACGATCCACCGGACGATACGTTTAGGTGATATTATGTAAACTAGGGTATTACTACGAGAAAGAGAAACCAGAAGAAGAAGAAAAAGGAAAAAAGCCAATAAACATTTGTAAAGATTTTCTCGCTTCCTCTTTTATTTTTTGCGCTCGCCGTGGGATTATTCTTGACTAATTGATTAATTACCCAGGACCGAAATCGTTATTACTCACGTATTATTTCCTCACCTTGCTTATCTATATTCACTCGAAATTTTCTATAAAGGATTGTCGAAAATGTACATCAGCGACGAATAGAGATGTCCGAATCGCTTAGGATAAATGCGATAATAGTTTAAGACTAAGGGAAGGATAAATGGAAAATCTAGAAGAAAAATTTTTTTTTTCTCTCTTCTTTTCGCTAAGCGGCGAAAATTGTTAACCACGAACAATAATTGCAAGCAATTCCGCTAAATGTTAACTGCAGATTAATGCTGGATTACACGATTGCGCTGTTACGGGAGGAGCTAACTGATAAGGGATAATTAAGGGGGAAGAAAAGGAATTATCGCCGGATGAGCGATTTTCACTTTTCCACGGTTCTCCTCAAGGAGGCGTCCTTCATTTTTTTTTACGTACTCTTTTTCTCCTACCTCCTTTTCCTCTTTCTTGATCGCGAAATTACGCCGAGAGAAGAAAAAAAAAAAGAAGAAAAGAATTCATGGAACTGAAAAGATATTTCTTTGAATAGTCCCGAAAAATTAATTTGTTAATTCAATAAGTAATTATTTTACCTGGATTACCTGAATGAAATTGTCGCCATTCCGAGGAAATCTTGCGTTCAATTTATTCGAGGAAACGTAATTGTTCTTTGCATTAACAGAATATTTATTGGGAATATTCAAGGAAATATTTTTATTGCTTAATGAAATCTCCTTTTTTTCTCTCTGTGTACGTAGCAAGAGGCGTTGTATGTTACGGAGGACACTTTTATTACGCGAATCCTGAAGTGGGTAAAAGACACTTGTATAAATAAATAGCTTTAGCCGTAGAATTTGAATTAAGGCGGGAAGAGAGGGAGGTGAAGACGAGGGGGCGAACTTTGTCGTGCGAGAAAATGGCGTATACATATATACATACATACTTATTATATATATAGTTAATTATGTATTCGTAGATTTATATGGCTAGCTTCTGAGCGAATGGACGGACGTTTTCTCCCATTTCTATACTGCTCCGCGAAAATGCCTCAAAAGCGGGAAAGTGTGCGGCTTTCGGTCCGGAGGGCACTAAAGAGAGGTCCAGTTTTTTTTTTTTATTATATATTGAGTTTATATCATATTTTCTGGGAAATTCCCACGCAATGACCTCGACATTTATTCCCAACTCGTGCGATCCTAATTAAGAAAATTGCGAAAATTTCAGAAAATTATTAGCTGATTTGAAGAATTTATAATCCACGGTATGATTTTCCTAACGTACTCGGAGTTTAATTGGATAGTTAATTATTCCGGGATTTTTCAGGAAAATTCACAGAAGAGCGGGAGTTAAATTTTTACGTGGAAATAATTAATTTAATAGATACGCGAACGCGCTTAATTCGAATCTTAAGCTGCTCCCAGAGGTGTGCAAAGATAATGAATTAATAACTAAATTTAATGGACTCCTAATGCATTTTAGAATTGTTTCGATTTTTCTCTCTCCAAAACTCGCCTAGAGGCGATTCGTATTTATTTTACATTTTTCTTAATAATCGCGTTCGCATAATTAATCAGGTAATCCTTGAGCGTAATTTAGTCCTCTCACTCTAAACAAGACTTTTCTCTCGGATTTCATTCTGGAAAATCCTTCCGCTTTTCCCGTTAGTCCGCTTTAGGGGGAACCTAATTTCTCCCCTCTGGGGGATTTCCAGAAGATCCCCAGAATGTCTCTTTGTTATCTAGGTAAATTTATAACGGCGACGCACACTCTCCCTCTACTTCTTACACAGGTAGATAGAAATACATTTAGATAGGCCCGTACCTTTCGGACGTGATTCCACGGTTTATCGATTAACGAGATAGGAACCGACCTCTAAATTCTCCACCTAATAATTTTCCCCTAGGCCTCCAATATTATAAACCAAAATTAAATACCAGACACCTCCACCTGTTAATTGTCGGACGTCCGAGAAAAAAAAAAAGAAGAAACGCATCACCGAATTCTGGCGACCTTTAAAATCATTCTTTCGTTAAAGTCGAGGAAAAAAGAAATTAATTTCTCTTGCAACTGTATATTTTTCATTTTGGCATAATTTTTCATGATGAGAAAATATCTCCGAAGATACGTTCGACATTGGACATTTTTTGTTTTATCTTTGGCAGAAAGGAAGAAAAAAAAAGAAAATCAATGGGGAATGAGAGAACGGGCAGCTCGCCTCTTCGACGTAGATTGCGAAGTCGATTGCGAGCGAGTAAACGCCATTAACGGTCGATCCATGAATTTTGCATAACGAAAGGAGAATGCCAAGTACCGAAAAGAAAATAAAACCACACACGCTCTGTTTTCTCGCACTTGTAATGCCTCGGAATGCGGCTAGGAGTGTTTTTCTAGAACTTTGTACTTTGAGGAGAAAAAAAGGAGGAAAAAAAAACAATGAAATGGAAAAGATATGCTTCTTACTCCGAATAAATCGATCTTCGTTTGTCGAGGACAAACGTGCGCCTTCTTACTCTCACGAGTTTTTTTTTTAGTTTTATTTGTTCATTTTATTCGCCCTTTTACCTACCCTGGCTCGAAATATCATTATTCCCGACTTTTGTCATCCTTGTTTTCGTGTTTTCTTACCTTATTTCTTGTATTGGCATTGCGATGCCTTCCACAGATGAGTTGGGAGATTGCTCACGGGCAGGGTCGCGCGATCGCATCGTGTGCTGCCCTCTGGTTTCGTACGTCAGCTTTCACAAAAAAACGGTGAAAGCTGACGTACGAAACCAGAGGGCAGCACACGATGCGATCGCGCGACCCCGCCCGTGAGCAATCTCCCAACTCATCTCTGGTAGATAAGTTCCCGAGCTCGATGTAAAATTCAAGGCAAGGATTCCCTCTGCTACTCTATGGAAATAGAGTAGCAGAGGGAAAATATGTATTTATTTCTCCTAAGCGCCACGATATGGTAAAATTCCACAATCGAGCGCTGAGCTAAGACTAAACCAGGTTTAATATCATTCATATATTTATATCATCTCTACAATGGTTGACATCGAGTTGATACAATCTTGAGTTCTACTTGTTTAACGATGTAATCGAGCTTAATCTTAGATTTATGGAGTCTCGTAGTTGCGTCTTAATCATTCATGGCTGAAATTGCAAATAACGATAACATTGATTTACAATGATGGAAACCAGTAAAGTGGAAATCTGGAAATCTTTTAGTGGAAATTTTATGGCGCTATCTAGCAACTGGGGTTCGAACTAAACTTTTAAACAACTGAAAATAATCGATTGCAGACGATTGATTAAATGTCTTATTTCTTACCAAATGAGTACGACATTTCTGTAATTTATAAATAATATCCTTATGTGATCTAGATGTTGAAGATGTTCAGTTAAGATATTTATTAAAAAGTGAAGAGTAATATGTAAAGGATATTCTTTGGTAAGTTACCGACCGAAAAGAAGTCGGAAACTGTAAAAAGTGGAACAAAGAGTTGGGAGGGGAATAATTTTAATATATTTATATATATATTATCTAGGAAAGGGAAAAATACTTTGTGCATTGAAGTTATGTTGCAGAGACCAAATTTCCAAGCAATCGGAGCTGAGACTTCGATAACTCCTCATTGATCCTCAAATGAAAATGAAAACTATGAAAATTGGAGCACTTTCGAGAAAACTGGTTTATTCGACGAAACAGAGGTGTAGCCACAATTAGTCGATGGCTTCGTGTACTAAAGTTAATGGAGAAAGAAACTAGAAACATTTGTATCACTGCTTGCATAACAATTCAAGCTTCCGGTGGCCACGCAACGATAAATCGCAGCGACTTTCGGATTGTGCAGTTAAATCGAATTCTTCCACAGAATCCAGTTTAGTTGAATATCTGTGCAGGTCGTTTTGCAGATATTTATCGTTGCGCAAAGCTACCATTACGTGAAATCAAAGATGGCCGCCCTTCGAGGCGGTGAAACGCAAACGTGATAATAGATGGTAATAGATAATTGATGAAGGCGCAACTGCAAGTATAAAAGCGACCCAGAGATCCTGCAAATCTCTGCCGGGTCCTTGGATATTCTCTATTTGCAATAATTCGCTCTGCGCTTTAAAAAATATCTTACAAAAAGCCTCGCGATCACGCCGATGAAAATCCGGCGAGAATCGTCGTCGAGAGCCTTCATCGAACCCTCCACTGTGCGAGACGTTCGATATGGAATGTTGATTTACATAATTATTTTCTCCACGACTCGCCCGACTCGTAACTTGTTAATGAAAAATTCCGGAACAAGGACGAGGCGTACATTATTCGGTAGCATTTTTCTTCGTTCGAACAAGTCGGCCGAGATAACGATTAAAAATTGTTTTCGTCTAAATACCGAGCGCATATAAGAATTTCAAAATGGCGGACGTTAACGAAGAATTATACCCGACATTTTAGAAATGTTCCTTGACTAGTTTTTAGTGTTTTTACATTCTCGAGAACTTAAACTCGAGTAATATAATGTACTAAAAACTCCACTAGACTTTCTTTTATGATATTTACTTTAAGGACTTCTCGTCTCGGTGGAAATGCAGGAAAAGTCGTGGCGCGTAGAAAAATAATCTCGATCTGGTTTAAAACATCGACAGTGAAGGGTTGACGTTTTAAAAACTATTACCGATTTCCTGCATCTCTTCAGGCTCGATAAAAGAGATATACCTCAACGGTTGGAACGTACAGAAGTAATCGATAACAACTTAATATCCCTTCTCGTTGATTACGAATATTATCGGGTTGTTCCATACGTGATAATAATTAAAATATAAGTCCATAAATTCGGGAAAGTTTAAGAATTCATTTCTGGCAACCAAACGAAACACGAATTAATCTTGAGAACGCTTCGGCAGTTTCATAAACTTTCATAAAGGCAGGTAATTCATATTAAATAAATATATAACTTATGGAACAACTCGATAGTCAAGGGACTCCAACGTAACAAATGGCGTCGAGGGAAGTCTCTTTTTTACATTTACCCGACGTAACATTAACATTTTTTTTTCTCCCCCTCCCTCGCAAGTCCACATTCGGAATTATAAAATATATAGTATTTGTATATATTTCCCGTCACGGGGAAAAAAGAATTAGAGGCGAACCTCTGGGATATGCTACCGTAACGAATTGTTATTAGGAATGGCACGGGTCCTTACGATTCGGTCTCGCAGGAATGTACTACGTTAAGTAATGACAATCGATGGATTAAATCAATTTTATCTTAAGGGGATGTGAAAGTTGCACCTGAGGAATTTATTCTTTATGGCAATTTTCTCCAGATCGGAGGTACCGAATCGTCTCCAACGTTACAACAAAATCGAGGCTGTAAGGACAGTCCCGACCACCCTTGAAATTTCATTTGTTAAAATGTCTATTAATGTTTAAAACGATTCGGTTCACCTGGTTAGGAGAAAAGTGGAATAAACGAGACCTTCGACGGCACTTTCGCATCGCCTTAACGATTGAACAATCGAAGTGCGAAGGAATGAATCGCCGTTGAAGTGTATCCCCGGCGTTTTCTGGAGCAGAAAACATTATTTTCTTATTTGACTTCGTTTGTTTAAGGATTATCCACTCGGTCTTCGATTTGACGGAGTTGATGAACCTTTGGATGGCGTGCGTCTCATTCTCTCTTTTCTCTATTTTACTCTCATCCTTTCACCCTCGCAAGTTTATAATACATCGTATGAGGGACCACTCGTGTAGACATCGAATTGTTTATAAAAAGCCTCCATATTAGCGTTGTAATTTTTTAAACGATTCGGTCCAGTTTGGAGAAAAGTGTTATAAACTTTTTGATGCCACTTAAAACGGATTTCTTTTCTTCGACATCTACTCGAGTAGAGGAGACTCTCCGATGGGAGTCTCTCACATTTTTCATATTTCATATTTCATATTCTTTTTTTTTCGCACCTCGACAGATCGAGCGTCAGCCTCTGTACAAAGTTGATAATGATAAGTCCTTAAAACTCTACACCCCGACACTCTCGCGGACAGATTAAAAATGGAATTATTATCTTTCCCTCGATGGATAATAGAAAATTAATTAGTTTTCTATTTGATAAATTATGGAATGTGGTATCAGGGCTTTCCCTGATAACGCAAATCGTTCAAGTGTCGTCCATATTGCCGCTGCATGCCGAAGTTAATTGCAAATTAATTTCTAATTAATCGGATTTGAGCTTTATTTTTTACTTTTCTTGTTCTTTAAAGAGTAGTCGAGGCAATTAACTTCGGAGTGCCAGTTTTTACGCTTATCAGACTCTACTTCTTTTGCGACAGATCCGCGGGAATGATCTTAATGAGTAATTCTAACAATAGTTAATACAATCCCTCGGGCGAGGAACAATGTTGCCCGAAATTAATCTCTAAAAATGTGATATCAACCTTTTTGGTATTTCACGTCGAGGAGATACTCCCGAAAAATTATAAACAACAATTAATACTTTCATGGGAGATTCTTAAAAAATAGAAGAACGGTTCCGTCTCAATAAAGTGTCCAATTATTCGGAGAGAAGTTTTATCAATATTTTGACGTTTCGACATAGACAACTTCATATCACCTTAAACACACGTACTCAAAATTGTATGAAATAAATGTTTATATAAAACCATCTCGGAATGTCTCGTCGACGTGTCTCGGAAATACCGTCAAGTGTTATTAATTTCTCAAAAACATCGGGGATGAGACTTTCGAAAATTACCGAGCACTTCTCCATGATACCGCGGAAAGATTTCCGACAAATATTATTTCCTCTGGCTACCACTTTTTCATAAAAAGAAATTCCAAAAAGTCCCACCCTCGTTCCTAATATATCAATAAAAAAGAAAGGGCCACGGTTGAACGGAATTAAACAAAAAAAAAAAAAAGAAATATAGAAAATATATAACCTCGCAACACCTTCTCTCGATTATGTACAACATTGTATCTTACATTGTAGCTTACGTGTACAACATGACGTAGCTCATCACTCGTCGATCGCGAGAGCACTTTGCTCGAATCTACAATTGTATTATACAATTGCCTCTAAGTATCCAAGCTCGTTATCAAAATTTTCCATAAACCTAATCCGTCATTCCGCCCTCTAACCCCTGATTATTTCTTGCATCTAATTATTGTTACGCTATTTTTTTTTTTAATTTACAAGCATCAGCTGTTTGGAGGCATCCCGAGCAATTTCTCTGGTTCAGACTAGTGAGATGTAAAATTGGTTTTGGCCTCGGAAATATGTCAAAAAGTGAAAGATCAAGTCTTTATCATATCTGCAAGACCAAGTCTGATTTTTCTGATCACTAATTTCGACCCCATCGATTTTTCCTTCCGCTCGGTCCTACCAAATTGACACTTATCAGCTGTTCAGAGATGGGCTATGCAGAGCGAGTCGCGACCGACGAGGATCCGCGGATATCACCTCGGGGTAACAATAGAAAAATTAGCTAAATTCCACGGTGGATCATCTGAGGCCCAGGAGAAGACTCGCCGTGGCGAGGGCTGGCAGTAGAGGGTAAAGAGTTCCTGCAGATGAGCAGTTCAGGGAATCCCGGTGGTAGAACGTGGCCGGGGGGTGTTCGTCTCCTGGCTTGCACCATTCGCCCTGGGCCTTCAATTCCGCCTAAAATAAAAATATGAACGATCCACAATGAAAACCACTCTCCCCCCAAAAAGAACGGAATCAACTTCTAATTTTTCCTCCAGTAAAAAAAAAATGTTTATCGAATGAAAGGCTCCTAGTGACACGCTTTAAATACCCCTCGACCTCTCGGGAGTTAATTCGGCATCGAGGCACATTAATTGCAGTAATTCCCAAGACGTGTTACCGTACCCATATTAGCATTGAGCAGGTCCGGGTCATTATTCCCGTAGTCAGTAAAGATACCCCCGGACGAAGTAAATCTGTTCGAAACGAGGAGAGCTAAGGTCGTTAAGCGGCTTAAAATAAAACAACGAGGCGAGGTGCGAGTACTTGGCGTCCTATGTGCATACATATATACCCGGGTACATACGTACACATGTACAGTTAGGCGCCTTACCTGGCATATATCCTTGCAAGGCGGACAAATCAGGGCACCCTTGTGCAGCCATTCGTTCTGCATGATCCTGATAGCTATTTCCTGGCCGGCGTGATAACAGGTGTACGTGTAATTAGCTACCTGCAAGCCGAGGGGGGAGATTTAACAAATCGGATTCGCCTTTCCATCGGTGGCCATTTCGAAAACTGACCATTATGTGCAGTCTGCCGGACTCGCATTTGTACTGATAACAGCCCGAGCCCCAATGCCGCCATTGTCGGGCTTGCTTGCAAGTCCTCTCCTCCCACATTTGGTCGGTGTGGTCGAAGCAACGAGAGTGGGCTCCATATTTCTCCAAGGCGAAGTTCTTCTCCGAGTCTGGAAATAATTTCAGGAATTAAACCTCTAATCGCTAGACGCCACTTCAGCTAGCTTACGTGGGCTGTTCTCCTCGTAGAGGCAGTGCGAACCCCTGACGACGATGTTCCTGGCCCTCCAGGTGAACTCCTGGATATATGGACAGTAATCCGCGAGAGATACCGACCCCCCGTAATATTCTTCCCTCCCGGAGGGGATGTTGGGGATGGAGTCGAAATTCTGGAAGCGAAATCGACCTCTGGTCAGAACGGCTCCCTCGTCGTTTATGGCACGTCATACCATATCGTAATCCTTATTCAATAAAATCCAAAGTAATTCACCGTATAACCTTATCTACGACAGAATGCGTCAGGATCGACCTGGGGCTCGAGTTTTCCCACTAGGGGGGTTAGGAAGGAACTTACTTGGTACTTCCTCGGCAAGGGTTGCGGATGCTCTACCAAGTTGCACAGCGCCACCGAGCTCCGGTCGTCGGTGCACTCGGTCTGCAGGGGGTCCTGCTTAACTTTGTTGCAGAACGGGTGGATGGTCTTGCCCCTGGAAAAGCCGGGATTCGTTCAGGCGGGGAAAGAACCTCCTAGGATCTACGCAAATCTCGGAAATCGGATAAGGGTGGAACTCGCTGATACGTGATAATGCCGGAACGCTCGCAAGGGGAGACGACGACGAAAGTCGTTTCCATTTCTCGACTCACTTATCAAATTTTTTAATCGTTATTGTTAATGTTATATCTTGAGTCATTTTTTTTTCAAAGAGGTCTCGTTACATTTCTTTTTTTTTCTCATACAGGGAATTTATTACACATTTTTTCTTATCACAAGAAATATTTCATTTCCAATAGATAAGGTTCTGTAATTTTTATTTATTCTTATTTTTCTTCGCGAGCCTTTCGGGGTGCGTAAATCTAAAAGTTTATGATAAATGAAAGAATCCTCTTTTTGTACCCGCGATAAGTCGAAATCTGGCGGTGATAAGGGTGGTAAGGATTGTCTTGTTCCAGGGAGGGCGATTACGAGGATGCTCGCCGGGATATACTGATGTCGGTACTTACTTTTGCTCCCTGCATCCGGTTTTACGGGTACGGGCCGAGTAATGGCGGTAAGGAGGAAAAAGGGGTAAGAATTTAATTAGAACTGTTTACTGGGGGGTACCGACGCCTGCTCTCATCGAGCCAGACGGAAGGAATGCTAATTTTTCCAACAATTTCATTACCAGCGAGGCCAACTTGGGAGGCGGAATATTAAAATCGCTCCCGGACGGAACAATAGGCATGGACCAGGAAGAATAAGAGAGACTCGCGCCTGGTAAACTTATGAAAAGGGAAGAAATAAATCCACGGACGTAAAGATTGAGATCCGAGGTACAGAAAATCTCTCTCAATGAAATTCCGTAAAATACATTTTATATCCTCGATTAAATCGGAATTAATTTCACGGATAGAAAAAATTAGCAAAGGAACATTCCTGACGCTATGTTGAAAAGGAGGAAAAAAATCAAAGATGGAGGACACGGATAATTGCAGGAAAATTCTTTCAATTAAGTACCTTAATATACTGGAATTTCATACCCTGGGTTCAAGCGGAATTAATTTTTTGGATAAAAAAAAAATTGTTGAGATTGGAGCGCGAGGGATTTTCAACTCGTTGAAGAGGGTGAAAAAATTGTAAGGGAAATTGTAAAAAAAAATGAGAGGAAGACACTTACGGGATTCGGGATCGCGTGATCCAGGACTTGCAGGACTTCATGGCGAAGTCGCATCCTAGGTGTCTACCCCAGCCCAGTTCCTGGGCCATGGAATAGTTGGCACGATACCAACCGGTGTCTTCCATCAGAGCCAGGGTTATCCTGGAGTAGACTGGATTCTGCGTGTGCGTCCCGGTCATGGCCTCGTTCTACGTCCAAAGTTCCCCGATTAAACACCCCTTCCATTAATCGCCCATCAGGGGTCCAATTAATTTAAACCGATCACCCCTGGACGGAAATTTCGGCCTTGAAGTACCGACTAGCCCGCAAACTCGAGGCGTGAAGTATATCAATTAATTCAAGAGCAAATTTCATCTTTCAAAAATTCTCTCCGGGGAAAATCTCATGCCGAATTAATTAATTCGGTAATTAATTCATTAATACGTGGCTCGTCTCGTTGCTAAAAATACATTTCCGAATTTCCATGAATTTCTTCGCGTATCATTAAGGGGATTTAATAAATATAGAGGAGAGGGACCGTTTCGGAAAATTCGAAAAGGGGAATTAGGAAGGAAAAATTCCAAAAGTTCCCTTCAGGGTCGAATCAATGGCTACTTATTAATGTGTACAAATATTCCCATGAATTTTAATGAAGTTTAGAGCGCGTTCTTAGGGTTTTCTGACCTCGAAAACTCTTTTTTCCCAGTGAGTCAATACTGTGCCGTCCTCTCCTTGGTCTTCGAGCTCTGCACCTTCCAGGTGAGGACATTTAAAATGGGCCCTGACCTCTTCCTGGACCCTCGGGGTCACGATCATCTGCATTGACCTTTCTACAGTGCCCCCTCGAACTTGCCATTGTGGCCTTGTGATAGTCCTTATTGTATCTTCGCTCCATTGGTGGGTCTGCAGTCTGAAAAACAAGAAATAAACTTCATAATAAATATTTACAAATTTCCTACACTTAATCATTTCATAACATCAGGTTATGATTTTGAGAAAATGTGGAGGAAAATCCAGGGATTATTTTTTAAAGATATATCCGATGAGTTTTATTAAAAATCCTATCTAATAAACAGGGGATATTCATGCAGGTCCTCCCCAGGAACAGGATAAGGGAGGATTTTCGAGAGTCGTGATCGATTTCGGGGGAGGATATCTCGTTAAGGTGGATTCGCATGATGGATGCGAGCACGTTAGCTTTGGCCTGGTCAGGCCCATGATGAATGGATCTAAATAACGATCCAGGATGTACCCGACAGAAGACGGCACTCCTAAGAAGAGGAGAAGAAAGAGAGGCCATCAAGAGATTATCGGATGAGCCATCTTGAAAGAGAAGCCCCTCCTGCATTTTCCGACACTGCATCTCCGCTGCACTCCGAGAGCTCCCGGAATTAACAATTACCCGAAGATTCTTCAATTTTGAAAATAAACCGGAGCATTCCCCGAGAACGTTGGCGTGCTACGTCTCGGGTGATGGATCGCCAAGGAAGCGGGGGAAAACTTTTCTGCATAACGGAAATTGGATGGTTCGTCGCTTCCCCATTTTCCTACCTTTTGTACCCTTCTTTATTATTTCGCCCTTTTTGCGCCGGTTGCATGACCTCTCTCTCTCACCCCTCAGAAATGAGATGCAAATTTACGGGGGTAAAATGGAGCGCAATATTTGCCCGGCCCGTTTTAAACACCGTATCAGTTTTTATCTAAGCGAAAAAGGGAGACCTTCCTGTTTTTTTTCTCCCCACGGAAATACAGGTGAAGCTTTTTCTTCCCATCCTGGTATCGGACTGCAGTCCACCGAGAAAGTGCTCGTAAAAATGAATGGAAATTTCCCGTCCCGCCCTGCGGCCAATCGCCCGTTTTTTGGATCCCCCCCGATTGCTCCGAATTTCCAAAATATTCGACCGAGGTAATAATTCACCCGCAATTGCAAAATCCTGACGGAGTTGCAAGGGTGCCACGGGAAGACGACATTTTTTACCACGAGGGTATTAACTCCCCTAATGAGTACCGATTCACAATTAAACGATCATCGTAGCACATTCTAGTATAGGAAAATTCCGAATAATTCCGAACAGGGAGTGGGAAGAAAAATCGAGGAGAAAGGCCGTCAAAAGGAAAAGAAAAGGAAGAGAGAAAGAAAAGCCCCTTTCGTTCGGGATGATGGAATGGAGATACTTCGTTGCCGAGTTTTCGCGGTATTCGCTCTCAGGAGTGATTTTCCTCTCTGGTAGGAGTTTGCAAAGGGAAAAGGGAGAAAGGGTAAAAGGCGACGAACCGTTCCCACAGACACCGAGGTTCCCTCGGGAGCCGGAATCGATTTTAATCCGGTTCCTGTTTGACTCGGGGTCCCGGGGCGGTATGAAGTAATACCGTGAAAACGAAATCCCGGGACACTCACTTCTCGTTCAGGGACGGTTTCCCGGTCTCCTGTCTCCTGGGGGTCCTTGGCTCGCCTTTCTCGTCCCTGTAGAAGGCGTAGAGGCTCACCGAGAATCCCAGGGCGTGCAGGATCTCGTGTTTCACCGTGCTCAGCAGAGTCTCCAGCTCCTGGGGCTTCGTGCTGATGCTCTCCGGGCACAGATTCGCGTGGCCGGCTATTGGCCTGAAATGCACAAACCGAGACGTGAAACCTCCAATTTTACCATTCAAAAATAATTATTCATTTTTACCAAGGTATTAAATAGCTCGTTATGTCAGTTTATCAAGTCCTCGTGAAGTTTTCACTGTACGGAAAATTGTACAAACAAGGTAGAAATTCCCGCGAACGCTCTAAAATGGACAAATCGATACAGAGATATAACATGTTTCGATTTTTCTTAATTATTTACCAACCCATTTATTTATTTATTAGTTGGTACACCAGTTTATGAAGCCTTCCCAATTACCATTTAATTATTCACGACCATTGAACACTACTAGCAATTTCTCATAAATTATCACCACTCTTCTCGATTTGACCATTTCTCACGGTCGCTAACAAACACGAAAGTCCAAATTTCTCCCATGTTGAATTATAGAAAATTCCTCCAATAATAATAAAAACTCACAGGGCGGGAAATTCAAGGCTCCGTTTTTCGATGTTAATTTCTTTTGTCCCCTTTCGTAACACGCACGAAGGAGTATATTTTATACAACTGTGCCAGTCGGCCGGAGATGCGCAGGGGTTGAAATAAAAGGAGAACGGAAGTAGGTCTCGCGTGTAAACGTCCCCCTCGGGGTGACAAATGTTGGGGGTGCAAATACAGTCGCGAGGCCGCTTTATTAAGCCGATTAATGGGCGCGGGGGTGTCGGCGGTGTTTTGTAATAATTTTTTTCCCAGGGCCCGATAAGATTAGGCACAGGGCCATGTGGTCTTAAAAGGGCCTCGTTAATTACGGGCCGGTAGCCGCAAACTGCCATGACGGAAAAGTGTTTACACGCATCAGCATTATCGAGCGAGCGTCGGGGCGAAATCGCCGAGGGTGGGAACCGCCCCTTGTAGGGAGCCAGTATTACCTAGGAGGGTACACAAGGGTAATGGCCAGTTGGTTATTAGGGGAGCTGCCGAGAGAGGAGAGAAAAACCACCTTGCAAAGGGAAACGAAAATAGTAGTTCCATAGGCGTATTAACAGTCCAGAGGAAATTTTTGGGGTAGGTTAGTTTAGGGGTGGAAACCGATATTCCGATATTAGGGGGTGAATTGCTTGGCGAGGGAGGAGAGAAAAACAGTCCGTGAAGGAAAACGTAAATAGTAGTTTAATAAGGAGTACTAGCAGTTGCGAGTACATTTTTCGGGTAGGTTAGGACCCTTTATTTTGGCACCTCCGGGTTTGCACAACTTTTCGCCGCGAAACAGGCAAATGGACTCGTTAAACAACTCATTTTAACAAAGTCGAAGGGATCGCGTGTCTCCCCTGTAATGGCGATCGGGACTCGAATTTGCATACGCTTAGGCGCCCGATCTCGCAATTCTTCCCACTTTCTGGGGGAATTAACCCCCTGGAACGAGGAGCCGCGATTGAATCCTAGGGTATAAACTTCCAGGGGGTTCGTAAAACGAACTGGAACTCGCGAAGAAACGAGCCACTTGGATTCCCTTGTATTAGCCGTTTCAGGGCGCTAAACGACGCGACTTTGGCGTCCCTAGCAACGCCTGGTTCCACTTTCCCGATTTTCGGTATATCTGCATCTCCATTACTGTTGTTTCTCCTTCTTGCCTCGCCCCATTTTTTTTTCACGGTCGCGGTCTGTTTTTTAAATGAATAATTTGTTTTTTATACTCCCAGAAGCTCCACTTCGATAAGTCGCTGCCTTATTCGACTTCGACGTAGAATTTGTCACTCTAAATCCGTCGTCGGAAAGAGACGCGGAAAGGTGTCGAAGAATTTTTTTTTTCCATTTTTTCTTGTCAGTTCCTTTAAAATATTCGCTCACCTGTCAAGGGCTGCCTCCTGCTGACAGTGAGCGGCGTAGGCGACTGTCAAGCCTTTGTGACAGCGCTCGGTCTGCATCGCGGAAACGTAGAAGACGAAATCCGCACCGTCGATTCCTGGACCGGCGACGCTTCCTTCCGCCTCCACGCATTTGTGTCCCGTTGCGTTGCACACCCTGCACACCTGGATGCAACGGTGAAAAGAAAAAAAGAAATAAATTAAATGGGGAAAATCCATATTTTTCCCACCGGTCCAATCTGGGCCGAGGTCTGCGTGATGGGATTCGTTCGGTTCGGAGCCTGATATTGACTGATAGTTGTCAAGGCTGTCAGAGTGCATCTCTGGAGGAGAAAATCGAGAAAAATTGGGGGAATCGAGGAAAATCGAGAAAATCAAGAGAGGCTCTGAATTAACGAAGATCTAAAGAGCGCGAAGGAGGTCCGGAATTATTAAAGAATTTTTTTTTTTCCCCAAAAATTGACGAGGGTCGTACAAGGGAGGGATACTCTCGGTAAAGCGGGACTCTGTGGTTCCCGAGGGAAGCGAGACGGTCCCGGAATAATCCCTTATTAGGGGCTCGTCGTCCAATTAAGGGCCTCGCCTCCTTTCTGCCGACTCGGGGAAGGAAGCTCCCTGAAATGTGGGGAGAAAAGGGGAGAGACCGAAGGGACGTCCGTCACTCGACTCGACAAATGGCCGCGGAATATAAAGGGGGAGAAGACGCGGGGAAGAAAGCTCGAGTACGCCGAGTCGCTCTCATTAACCACCCCGTGACAACCAGTGACAATTACGGCCTGACAGATCCTTATTAAGCCGCCGCGACGCCTTGACGCGGTCGTCGTCCCCAGTTCCCGAGGGAACGCTTCCGTACCGTCGGTCGAACAGTCCACGGCTGGACGTGGGATATTTTTCTCATGGGTTCCCCTTTCTCGTTTTTCCCACCCTCGAACGTCGAGGAGAAAGAAAATCCTGATAAATCAGCCCCGGATGAGGAGATACTATTCTGGAACTCGGAGGCTGTAGGGACCAACCGCGCTCACCTCGTTGGCTGGTTCCACTTTCTCTATCCATAATATTGCAAAGGATTTTTTTTCTCTTCTCTAGCGAATACAAGAGTGAAAAAGTATATAGTGGAACTCTGAGGTTGGCAGGGACCAATCGCGCTCACCTCATTAGCCGGCTCTCCACTTTCTTTGCCCAGGCGCGAATACAACGAAGGCGGACAATCGTGCGTACCCTGAAATTAATATTCCCTTGTTCGGGGCTGGGGACGTCAGGGCGGACGCGGATTCATCCCGACGATTTACGCCGCTCGTTAATTCCGCGTGCGTCCACCGGAGGGGCGGCCGCGGAAAAACTCGCCGATTTTAACGACCGAGATAGCCCAATGAGCCGCCTAACGCGGTCCGGACACGCGGGACGTCCGCGGGAGTTACGCGTCGCGTTTCCTCCGCCCTTTTCCCGAAAATAAACCCCCGCAGGGAGTTTTATATTCCTTATCGCGAGGGCGTTCCATTAACGCGACCCGATCACGCAGGTTACGTATTTACAACGTACACGCGATTTATGGGCGACGGTTCCCCATCGCATTTCTAAATTATTAGTCCGTTCCCCGAGTTCGCGGACGAGCGTTATCTTTTGTATCATTTTTCTTTCGACAAATGTAATCCCACGAGGAACAGTTTAATACCATGAATTACCCTTTCGTGTCACCTTAAGGGGATGTGAAAGTGACATCCGAAGAGTCACTCGTTTCAACCTTCACAACGTCAATGAAATTTTTTTTCTAAGATTTCAAAAATACCTGCGAACAAATTTCGAAAACATGGAAATTTCTTGGGTGTCGGGACCTTCCTTATACCTTCCACGTTGACATTGTAAAGTTGGAATCGATTCGGTTCACCCAGTTTTGAGAAAAGTGGAATATACGAGAGCTTCTTGTGGCCACTTTTGACATAACCTTAAATCCAGGTGTGAAGATGAATTACGAGGTTGGGAGACTCACGTCGAGATGCTCGTCAGGTACGACGACCTCGCCGCACATGGTGACGGGCCTGCAGGCCTCGATGCAGTAGGTGTGTTGATCCTTGAAGAAGACCTGATTGCTCTCGCACTTCCTGTAAGCGGGGAGGGGGAGTTACTCTCTCGCAGCGTACCGTGGATGTTAGTACAGGCGATTTGCGGGCGAAATTAGTATTCAGGGAGCGAGCGAGGAGCAATTGGGAGCGTCGCTTTCGGCCGGATCCGTACGTGGGTTGGTGCGGGAATCGGCGCTCCTCGTCAATGGGTGGGCGGTGGGTGATGGGTGGTGGGTGGGTAGCGACACGGGGTTGAATCGCCGGGGCGTCCTGACGTCTAAATTACGGATGCGGAATCGCGATTCCGCGAAGGGTTGGGGCGTGGGATGGGGTGGGACGGCCGGACAACCCCTTGATGCACGGTGCAGCATCCACGAGACGAGTCACCCTCTGACCACCCTCAAGAGCGACTGGAAACCGAATTCAGGAATTCAGGAGGAGATCATTATTGGATAGGGACGATTTCGGAGGTAGAGGGAACTAAGTTTAAAATTTCCCGAAATAAGTGCCTAGCGCTTTTCCGGCCCGGGTAAGAATACCCGATCTTCGACGTCTGCACATAAATAATGGGTAGGGTAATTACCAGGGGATGAATCGGATAAAAAAAGAACAACACATACCGATCTAAATGTCTCCTCGCGTATAATCTATACATTGATAACGAGGTCCGATTTAATATCCCCGTTTCGAAAACCCCACCACAACCCTTCTGCCTTAGAAACGACCTCCACCCCCGCAGCACCCCCGCGGTCCACCCGGACATATCCGAAATGATGTTTTCCCACCCAGCCGTGTCCGGGATGAAAAATTAAACTGGACGAAACTCGATCAATGTTCCGGGCTCTCTCCGGTGGCATTCCAGATTGCGGGTGATCGAGTGGACCGCGTGGGGGTGGTTCCCCCCATGCCTCCAAAGTATCCGCGAGACAATTTCCCCGGACGCCTCTCCAGGGAAAAATCCCCCTCCCGCCCCCTGAAAGGTCTTCGAAGGGGGTACCTGCCCCCGCGTCGCGATTTCCCCCCAGCCCCTCCCTCGTTCTCTCCCTGCTTGCACAGCGCGAAGGTCGGAGCTCTTTGCGTCGTTTGCCGCGATTTCGCAATCAAACATCCATTAAGAGGTTCTTGGGGTGACTGGGGGGCGTTGCTACTCGGTATCATGAATTAATCATGTCGAGATATAATCCCCGTTTCATTTGCCCCTCCACCCCCTGATCTCCTCACCGAGGAATTGGATCGGGTCGTTCTCCCCTTACCTCGACTCAATTTCCTGTGATTAAATTTAATTTTAATGATTAATATCCCCTCCCCTTCCCGGCTCGAACCACCCCCGAGGTCCGTTTTTCCGCGAAAGTGCACTTTACGGTCTTGCGGGAAAATAATCGACTAGGGTCTTGAAACCGCTAATGCGAGGCGGAGATAAATCTCCTCCTGGGGGGAAGACTCCCCCACGTGGGAGGGGGGGGCACTTCGTCCCGTTTTCTATTCTCATTTTCTGGATTTCGGAGGGAGACGAAACGCGTTGAGAAAATTGCGAAATTGCGGAATATGCCCCCCCCCCCCAAGTCGGTATGTCCGGGAAGACAACGATGTTCAGGGATAATAGTTCGCGGGGGGGGGGGGCAACCCCCTCTGTACGTAATGGTAACGGGCTTGCACGATGACGCCGGTGCATAAAACGCTTCGCAGCTTCGATGCGCTCTTTTATGCGGAAAGTTTCACTCCCCCCCCCTCAATGGATGGGGGGAGACTCCCCTTGAATATTCACGCGCAATTTCGCGGATCGCCCCCCCCCGGCCCCTTGCGACGTTGGGCGCGAAAAAAGTTCCAGATATCGGGGCGAATGTCGCCCTTCGGAAGGGTTGAAAAAATATTCGGATATTCTTTACTAGGAATTTCCAGGCGTGGGGAATTTTTGGCGAAAGAGCGCCATGTTGGAAATGCGCGGAAAAGTTGAAACAGATTTGACAAAATGATGACGACCCTTGAGGGGCGATTTATGATTTTCGAATTTTTTTTAGCGGAGGGAGAAAGGAAATTCATTGAACCGCGGAAATCATTAGTTAATTCAAAGGACGATTAATTACTCGTGCCAAATGATTATCCTTTAAATAAACAAAATGTTTCTTCGGTTCGACGAGGTTCCTTTTCCTCCAGGGTAGGAGGATGGAATTTTTTCGCGCATTTTATCGGCGGCGAAATTCGGAGGGACGTGGGGGAGGGTGATGGTGGAGTGGTTCCTAGGGAAGCTCCGAGTGCACTCCGTTAAATAAACATGCAAATACCGCGGCCGATCGGACCGAATAAATATCGGCCGGTGCCGGGGCTCGAGGGGACGGACAAATACGAATTTCACCCAGCGACGGGCGCGGACTGCGCCGATATACACACAGATGAGGTATCGATCCCTCGAACGTCGGGAATCGAGACTCGCCGTCTCCTCGCCCCCTCCTTTCCCCCGATTTTTTTCGGCACCCCGTCGCGTGCTCGCCGAGCCGCGAAACTTCGCCCCTCGACGTGCGAAAATACCCCCGGACCGCATGCGGAAATCTACGGGAAACTCCGCTCTATATTACCGTGGAAAGAGGAGAAATGAAAAAGGAAAACGAAAGAAAAAAAATAAACGCGCCCATGAATTTTCCGAGTATTTTTATACCCTGCAGAATCCACGCCGAGGTTAGGAGGGAGCGATTAAAGTCGAAGTCGAATTTACCGTATTGGAAGGATGGACGATTATTAAGGGTGATTTTTTTTTTTTTTAATTTCAACGGGGTGATAATCGCGATATGGGTCTGTGGAGGTGGAAATGCGTGGACACGAGAGAATAATCCTGGAAGGAAAGATATAAGTGCGATGAAAGGAGGGAATTTTTCGGGCGCGCAGAACTTTCCGTTGGACCGCCCGGAAGGTAGGGGGACTTTCCGTTGGAGCGCGGCAAATGTAGCCGCCGACAGGAGGTCCATCGGCCAATGGGAGGCCTCGCTTTAGAACGCTCGCGATCCGCGGATTTTCCGAGGGCAGTTTTCTCCATCGACGAGGTAGTGCCTTTCCGCGTTAATGGCGGGTCGGAATTACCCGGGGAGGGCGTTTCGGGCGGGAAGACGGCCTCCCAGGATATCCCCGGAAACGCCGAAGAGGGATTCCATTTTGAAAACAGGCGCAATTCCGCTTAACAGCCCGGCAATAACCATTAGCCCCCCGCCCCGTCGGGGGGTAGTCTTCGGAAGTCGCGGAAGATCGTATCCGACGACGGATGGCTGGATCGATGCGTGCATCCTCCTTTATGTAGAACGGTTCACCTTGGGCTGCTAGAAGTGCCCCAAGTGCTCCGGAATGGTCCCAAATGGTCCCGAATGCTCCCTCGGGACAGAAATTTACCCCTCCCCCGTCGAGACTTTCAGACCGGGGAAACTATTCCCGAGAAAGTGCCGAAGCGTCTCTCTCCAATTCCGCGTTACGTGTACCTAGACGGGAATTTACCGCATTTACTTTGAACCACCAAATTTGACGCCTCGATCGATCGTTAAATAATTTTATCAAGAATATTTATTAAACCCTCTCTAGAGTAGTTGCGATTTATTCCTGTACTTATTATACATGTTGACGCGTCCACGTCTCGCGAGCGACTGACGCTCGCGCTTCCCCCTCCCCCCTGACGGTGGAGGCGTCCAAGAAATGGGAAAATGCAAGTGGGTCAAAGTCGCTGAACTTTTCGGGATCCCGGAAGTGGCGGAGTTTCCCGGGATATTCCGATGAGATTCGGAGGGATGGAAAGCGGTCCGGAAAATTCCAAGGAGTTTCGAAACGGTCCCCGGGGAGAAAAAGATTCCGTCTCGCGTCGATTTTAAAAAACGTTCGAATATCGCAACCTATCCTTCTATTTATTCGTTTTCCATTTTTTTCTTTCAGCTGTCGCGTTTTTTTTAATTACCATCTTCATTGTCCCAAAGCTTCGCGGGGGGTAATCACCCTAGACAAACTCTCCCCGGCTAATGGCTTTGCATATCGATCAGTGAGTCCTTTATCAGTCGTATCACCCGCGGAAAATGCTAATCCTTGCAAGCTTAACCATTAGAGTTTACGAATAATGCATGGGGAAGAGGCTCACTGGAGCTCGCCGGAGATTTTGCTGCATTTACCCTGAAAATCTCCGTTTCTTTATTCCGCATCATTATTTCAAGCCCCGATCACGAATGCACATTTTAAAATCAAACGCGTAGAATAAAAATATAAAATGTCGAAGTAGACGAACTTCTCGAACGAATCTAAGAAAATAAAATCCCTCCTCATTTTCGGGTTAATTAAAAAAATTCCCGAATGTCATCGACAACATACCAAGGAAATTAAATAATAAATTAAAAAGAAATAGTATATCACCGCCTTGTACATATGAGATATACGACCAGCAGTATAAAATTTCCAAAGAGCGGAATGACAGCGAGAAATTCGAGACTCGGCCATGGGGGGTGGAGGGGATGAAAAAAAAGGAAGAAAAATTGAAAATCACGGTGCGGAATCGGGCAATCGCATCCCGAGGCATCCCCGTGGTTTATGGGGCGATAAGTCGCGCGAATGGCCGCCGTCCGAACTCGACGATTAACTGCCCGACGCCGAAGGAATATTAAATTCTTCCCGACCTGTCGGTCGGTTTATTCGAGCTGGGCTGAGAATACGCGAACCAGACCCGGTCACGAACCGCCGCGGAACCGCCGCGGAACCGGGCCAGCCCTTGGACACATAAAGCGTCCAGAGAGTGCGGACTCAACGTCCTCCGCAAGACACGCATCCTGCATCAACGCCATTTCATTCCAGTTAATTCGCGTGAAATCCTTACACGAATTAACAAACCATTTCCCCAACTTTCAATATCGATTTCTTTCCTCAGGACATTATCAGTAATTTCCAAACGACTCCGATAAAGACCAGACCCGAAAATCCGAAATTCCCTTTTTTCGAGAATTCCGCGGATTTCCAGGTTTTCCAAATTTCACGGAATATAAGGTGGCTTTAGATGGAAGGCAGCATACCCCGTCCTCCGTATT